ACATTAACATTGGATTGAAGCTATGAATTCTAAAATACAAGCTCTTGAATCTAACCATACTTGGACTCTCATTGAATTACCACCTACTAAAACAGCTATTGGATGCAAATGGGTTTATATGATCAAACACAAAGCTGATGGAACTATAGAAAGATATAAAGCTAGATTGTTTGCTAAGGGATATACACATATTGAAGGGGAACTATAGAAATACATAAAGCTAGATTGGTTACTAAGGGATATACAAGGATTGAAGGTCAACATTATCTAGACACTTTTTCTCTAGCGGTTAACCTCACTACAATAAGACTTCTTCTTGCTTTGGCTGCCACTCAAAAATGGCACTTGAAACAACTTGATGTAAACAATGTTTTTCTTCATGGTGACCTCCATGAAGAAGTCTACATGAAACTTCCTGCTGGAATGTATCAAAATCATTCAAATAAGGTTTATCGATTGCATAAAGATTTGTATGGCTTAAAACAAGCTAGCAGGCAGTGGTATGCTAGGCTATCAACTTTCCTTACTTCTCATGGTTACAAACAATGTTCTACTGATTATTCACTATTTCTGAAGCGTAATCTTAATTCTTTTATTGCATTATTAGTATATGTGGATGATATAGTATTGAGAGGAAATGACTTGGCAGAAATTACAAACATTACTCAATTACTTGATAATGCTTTCAAAAATAAAGAATTGGGAGATTTTGAGATTTTTCATGGGGTTTGAGGTTGCAAGGTCATCATCTGGCATCAATCTTTGTCAAAGAAAATATGTCTTTGACATACTAACCGATTCAAGAATGCTTGGCTCTAAACCTATCTCCACACCAACAAATTACACTATAAAACTTCACCAAACAGTTGGTTTTCCACTCTTTGATGTTGATGCTTCCTCTTTTAGAAGGTTAATAGGCAAACTCATTTATCTTACCAATACTCGACTTGACATTTCCTATGTTGTGCAACATCTAAGCCAGTATGTTTTACATCCTACCACAGCACACCAACAAGCTACCAATAGAATACTAAGGTACATTGAAGGCTCACCTGGAGCTGGGATTTTCGTTTTAGCATCCAATGTTTTACAGCTTAAGGCATTCAGTGATCCTGATTGGGTTGGATGTTTAGATACTTGAAAGTTCCTCAAAGGTTGAATATGTGCAATGGCTAGTGTTGGTTGTGAGTTGTAGTGGCTCACTTTCCTCTTACAAGACATTGGAATTCCATTCATTCAACCATCCATTTTATATTGTGATAACAGATCAACTTTACACATTGCAGTACACCCCATATTCCATGAACATACTAAACACATTGAAATTGATTGTCATATTATTAGAGAAAAGGGTTAGAATGGTTTGGTGAAACTTCTTCCTATCAACTCAACAAATCAATTAGTAGATATCTACACCAAAGCGTTTTCTCCTATTGCCTTCAAATTTTTGTATGTCAAGCTTGGAATATATCATATCCATTTCGAGCTCGAGGGGGGATCTTAGTTGATTAACTTTAGTTAGTTATTGTGGTTAAGTAACCATTATAGTTAGTTTTATTTTAGCCTATATAAAAGACAATCTCTATAATTGATTTTATTTACTGTTCATTCACAAAAATCATTCAATAAAATTATATTGTTTCTCCTCTCTTTTTCTCTGAGTTTTCTTTCTCAAACACAATCTCATTTTTTCAATAGTTGTCACCATATTTGATAATTTGAAAAGAATCAAAGTTAACTTCATATCATGAAGAGAATCAAAGTTAACATCATATCCTTAACAATGCTCATCTAAAATTTAAAATGGGTCTTGCTATAACATTTTGTTACAAGTGTTTCCCCAACTTCTTTTTAATGCATTTCTTGGTTCTATCTACTTTTTAATTAGAAAGTCTACACAATTAAACATAACATTTTTATCTAATATTGGTTAAATATTTTAAGCTAGTTTATAGTTTTTTTTAATTAGTTAAAAATTTGTTCGACTATATTAGTATGTTAGATAAACAAATTTATCTTAGTAGGTTTTTAGCATTTTGTTACACATTATTTCTAGTAATATTGTTTTATCCTCTACTTACCATCTAATTTATTTTATTTTATTTCTTTTTTATTCTTAAAATACTTATTAAATAAATTTACTATTTTTTCAGCTAATCATAAATCACTCTATCTTTTAAAATAATTATTATAAAACTGAACGAATTTACCATATATTACAATTATGAACGACAATATAAATAACATTGTCGATGATTAGACGATATTTTAAATAACATTTACACTGTTGAAACTTTCTAATTAATTTATTTAAACAATAATTTTAACAACTTTTCCATTGATCAGATTATAATCTTTAAAACCAAATCCATCCATGTTATTATTGACGTACAGCCTATACTCATTGTATAGTGAGTTTTGAAGAAAAAAAAGAAATTTGAATTCCATATACAATGTAGTTTACTAGTTGCTACCGTAAAGTTAGGGTCCAAATTAGAGGTTTGGTAAATGATGCCAAAACTCCAATTATTGGCTTTGTCTTTCCATTTTCCATCACCACAGTCACACTGACTCACGCTCCCAGAAGTCCCTCTTCCAGGTTGTCGTCTTCATACACTGTTGTCTATAGTTTAGTCATTCATCTTGTTGTACATGCTTCGTCACATCAATATTTATCCTCAGAAAAAAGAAAATATAAAAAGAGAACATGCAGAAGGAAGTTAGCATGGACTAGATTATGTAGCAGTGTTACATCTTCACGTTTGTCCGTTGGAACTTTAGGTCACATAATGGAGCAAGATCATGTCTCCATGGGACACAACAACATTAAAATGCCCCAATTACTACACTCTAGGATCTAGCATGTGAAAGATGTAAAATTGGATCAAATATGTTAATTAGGATTTAGGATTCTCATCAACTATGAAGGCTAGGGATAAGTCTTCACAAATTGAGAGTAATTAATAAGATGATCACCACATAAAAATTATTTTTAACATGTAATGATATATTTTGCCTGCTGTTTGTTCCCCTGCCTACGTATCTGCTGACAATTATATTAGTTTAATATATTTTTTATTCTTACCAATTCTAAAGTTTAAGATTTCATCAAATTAAAACTACCTACCTGGTGACTTAAAATTAATAGCTGAATAAGGCCAAAATTAGTCAAGTATTTCTAATTAAAGAGAGTAGTTTCTTTGTTGTTCTAATATTAATAAACACACCGAACGTGGGCCATGTATTTCTTTAATCATTCTTTAATGTCAATCCCCTCTGATCTCAAAATTCTTACCTCATAGATTGAATCAGATTTTGGTGGCACAACCAACAAATGCAGCAAATCCAAAGAGAAAATTATACACTATATGGAGAGTGAGGGTGACCAACTGACAAGACAATATATGTTTAACAAACAATTCGATAGGAAAGCTAACACCCTCAACCTTAATTTTGGTTCTATTTAGATATGGAAAGCTATTCTTCCTTTAAAAATTTATCCCATCAGAATAAGTATCACAAAATAAATAATAAGGTAGCGTTTAGTTAGAGGAGAGGAACTAGCTTTTATAAAAATAAAAAATAATAAAAAAAAAATATTACTTATTTCATAAAATTAAAGGGA